CGAGAGACACTTTGATGGTGACAGGAAGCGAGAAACAGAAACTTCCAGACTCCCCACGAGGAAATGAACTCCAGTGACAACCACGGGACTCCAGGAGCAGATGGTGCTCCAAGTCTTAGCCCAGAACTCAGCCCAGTGACGTCTCAGTTTTTGCTTTGTGAGACGCCAAGGGAGAGAACCCACTCATGTGTCTGTGGCACGACAGATCCCTGACTGCAGAGCTGTAAGCTAATGGTGGTGTGTTTTTTCAAGAGGTAAATTTTGTGGAAGTGTATTCTTCAGGAAAAAAAAAAAAAGCACAATGCAAGAGCTATCTCCCCAGATTATCTGCTGGGGAGATAGCTCTGCCAGAACACGGCTGGCCACGTGGTCTGGAGGACCTGTGCTCCATCTCCAGGACGCATGTAGAAAGCCGAGTGGAACAGCACATGGCCGTCATCCCAGTGCTGGGGAGGTGGGCAAGGAGGATCCCCAGGAGCTCTCGCTGGCCAGTCACTCTCATCAACTGGAAAGCTCTGGGTTTAGTGAAAGACTCCTTCTCAAAATATAACATGGAGAAGGATGACTAAAGAGGACATTGAACATTGATGACCAGTCTCCCCATGCATACACTCACTTGTACTGACCAATGTACATTTAGGCAAGATAACACTTTGTTCATGGAAGGATGCTCACCATACCTTCTTTTGCTTTAGGAACTACTACTTTTATCTTGCATCATAATAAAAAGGAGAGCTGGCCCTGGGGCCTCACAAAGGAACAAAGACCACCCCCAAACAGTTGGCAATGGTGTCTTTTTGTGTGTGTGTGTGTGTGTGTGTGTGTGTGTGTGTGTGCCCGTAATTAACTCACATGAGAGAAACCATACATTATCTTCAGGGTTAGGGAAGAAAACTGAAGCCCGGAAAAGCCAAGTTAATACGACTAAGTTCACTCTGCTTGCAACTGACAGCTGGGAGTTAATCAAAGAGTGTATCTTACTCTGCAGTGTCGAGCAGTCGAAAGACTCAGTGATTCCATCAGTATTTACAGCATTTAGCCTTTCTCCGAGAAGGCTTTGATGGGCATATTACCCATAGGAACAGACAGTGGGAATGGTTTTCAGATTCAAGTTGTGTCCCATCTCTCTTTGGGGAAGCTTAGAGAATTGTTTTCAGCGTGATGGTATCAATTTACTTTTGTTTAGGGTTTCTTTTCTTTTCTTCTTCGTCTTCTTTTTTTTTTTTTGTAGCCTAGATGAGGAGAAGGAAGGAGAAAATGAAAAGTAATTGGAGGGAAATGGTTAGAACTAATAAAAAAAAATGGGCTTGATGTGGGTTTAAAAGCAGGGGTTTAGTCACAGATGTATTTAATTTGGCAAGTCCCTGCTTCATGTCTGTTCAAGCATGGGCAGGTGTCCCTTTTTCATGTGTTATAGAAAGCTTGAGGCTGTCCACCTCATGCCAAGAAAAGAAGCAATTAAATATTTTAATATTTCCTGCCTATAAACCGTTCCCTGTTTTATTACTTCAAATGCATTGGGTTTAAAAGGAGGTGTGAAAGCCTCCTGAGCCATTCATAAAAGGCTGCAGCTGCCGAGGGGAGATGCTGCAGGGTCTTTCAAAGGGATGTTTGGGGTCTGAGTACCTCATCTGCAGACTCTTCATTTATGATCACCCGACCCTGGTGCATGAGGCAGACACTTTCAGTGCTTCCGGGATGTATTCGGATGGAACACAGACACAGCGAACTCTTTTTCCCTGAGGAAAATATAAGGAAAAAAAGAGAAATACAAAATCGGCAGTTCAAAAGTTATGGTATACACACACACACACACACACACACACACACACACACACACACACGGAAAATCATTCCCCAGAGTAAGCCCGCAGTACCTGTGGCGAGTTTCTGAGCCTGTGACGTATTTGTAAGGTTCCTTCTTTACATGGACAGAATGCACAGCAGGGATTAATGATCTATTTTTGAATAAAGACGGGCCCTGATGTTAAAAGATAAACCCAAGGCACGATTCTATGCCCTCCCCTCCCATCATCAACTGAAAAACACCTACTTGTGATTTTCTCACAGATCTTCTAACTTTATTTTCGAAGACTTTCATTTTCCTCTGCAGTAAAGGGCATGACTGAAGTTAAGGGATGGGGTTCCTCCATATTCCTTTCAACCCAGAGAAACCTCGTTGAGTGCAACTTGGCAAAGTTATGCTGGGTGCTGGGCACATCCAAAGGGAGCCATGGTGGTCTCCCCTTGTCTCCTGGAGCTGGCGGGCTTTCTGCAGGTATTCGGACATGGTTTACAACATGTGGAAGAGGTTTCGTAAGCTTTACTTGTTCTTGTACTGTATTCCCAGTATGGGCTGTGAATCACTTTATTAGTATCTTCTTAATTAAAAAAAAAAAATTAACTCATCGTTTACTTAAATGTAGCCTCGTCTTAAGCAATAATGTCAATGAAACCATAGTTTATTGTGCTGGCTTGGACCTTTTCAATGCACCTTTAAATAAATCAAAATAATAATATATTTACCGGAAACTAAAGACTGTTTTTAGGTTTTACAAAGGTAATGAAGTCCATGTATATTTGGTGGCACCGTAACAGAATACGTGTGCCATATATTTGGTGGCACCATTATGAGGTATAACAACATTCTATAACCAAAAGATTAGCAGTCAGACATCTGCTATTTCCACATGGTAGAATGTTGGGTAAAGTTCTTCTTAATGTCATTTCAGGTGGGCAGCTTTGGCTGCAGAGCTGTTTGGATTTCATAACAAGTAAGGAACTCTAGGTTTCAGGTTCCATTTAAAAAAAGTATTATAGACCAAGGAATAGTTGGTCCCAGCACTGAGAAGGGAGAGGCAGGCAGATCTCTGTGAGTTTGAGTCCAGCCTGGTCTACAGAGTGAGTTCCAGGACAGCCAGAGCTACACAGAGAAACCCTGTCTAGAAAAATAAAACAAAGCATAAAAAGTACTACAGAAAATGGAGTTGTTAGTAACAATAGGAATCATTTTGCCCTTCTTTCAGTTGAAATAAAAATGTTTTTACTGAAGTATAAAAAGACATTGAATAAGACATTAAAGAATACTATCTTAATTACCTAGCCCAAAAACTGTGTGCGTGTGTAAGCATGTATGTGCATACGTAAGTTATACATGCATGATCTTCCCTTGGCCCCTCCCTGTCGTCACCTCCATCCCGCCCTCACATCATGAAAATTGGCTTTGAGTTCTATGAGTGAGCTGATCTCTGTGTTCCGCACAACATCGGTGAGATTCTCCAACGTTATGACGTACGCCAGAGTCTGCTCTTTGTCAGTGCTGTGTAGTATTCCTGTGTATTATCGCCACATGTAAATATTTAGGTTAACACTCTCCTGGGTAGAAGGATCCCTCTGTCTCTTCAAAGGACAGACAATCACATGAAAAAAAAAAAAAACCAACCAAAAACCAAAAACCAAAAAAACCTTCTCATGGGGAAATCTGAGAGCAGTTGGCAGTGCTGGCCAAGAGAGCAGCCCTTTCAGTCAACTTAGAAAACACAGCTCCCGTTGAGGTGCTAAATATAAATAGTGGTTAGATTCATTTCCCTTCTTGTTTTCACCACATTGGTGAATGGATGCAAGCTGCTAGCTCCATCAAATTGAGAGAGAGAGAGAGAGAGAGAGAGAGAGAGAGAGAGAGAGAGAGAGAGAGAGAGAGGAGATTGTGAAGAAACATTTTGATTTAATTTTTTGGATGGTGTAAAATTTTAGAACAGGAAATTAAAAGCCCACATAGCTACCCAACTAGATGGTGATAAGACATGAAAGAGACTTTCAAATGAATTTTATACTAAATTTAGGACAGTGCTTTATGCTCGGGCCAGCTGTGTGTGGAGTGGAGCGAGCCGAGCTGAGCTGGGAGCAATCACAGGCAGTTTCCCACTTCTCTTGACTTCCTTCACAGCCAGGCTTCATTTGAAACATGTGAGCTCGTGTGAATTACTGTAACTGGAGCTGCTCCGGCTGCTCTCCGAATACAAAAGTCCACGCCGGAGGCAGAGAGGAACCGGTGGAGCTTTGCTGCTTGAGACTGAAACAGAGAACCGAGAGCTGAATGGCCCAAGATGAGTGGGAAAATGGTTTTCCAGGGGTCCTTGAAGACGCGTTCTGTGACCTTGAGTAAAACACTGCATTAGCTGTAGAAACTCTCATCTGATAAAGAGCCACAGCCTCCCCACCCCCATCCCCCCAAATCATCAAGCAGGGCCTGCCGGGCCTCATGCTGGACACCTACAATCCCAGCATTCAAAAGGTGGTTGGAAAGTATGGAGATTTCTAGATCAGCCTGGGCTAGACAGCAAGTCTGTGGCCAGCTTGGGCTACAAAGTAAGACTTTGTCTTAAAAGTAAGAGGAGAGGCCGGGCGGTGGTGGCGCACGCCTTTAATCCCAGCACTCGGGAGGCAGAGGCAGGCGGATCTCTGTGAGTTCGAGGCCAGCCTGGGCTACCAAGTGAGTCCCAGGAAAGGCACAAAGCTACACAGAGAAACCCTGTCTCGAAAAAAAAAAGTAAGAGGAGAGAGAGAAAAACAAACAAACCAACAACCACCAAACAATAAGAACAAATACAAACCAGAGAACTTAACAATTTCTCTTAATTATTACTTTTTAAGAATTTCACACATGAATACACTATACATACATCATTTTCACCCTTCCTTCTCTCTCTTCAACTGGTCTCATGTCCTCTCCACATCCCCCTCCCAAATTCATGACCTCTATTCTACTGATTCAAATTAGTGTTTCTGTTCCCCCTACGTACATGCATTTAGGGCTGACCATTTAGGATGGGACAATCTATCAGAGGGTTCATCTCTGAAGAAGGCTGATTCTTCTTCCCTCAGCAGCCATTGGCTTGACTGTGGCCTTTTACTAATAGGTGGGACCTTGGAAGCCTTTACCCCTTTCCATATTGGCATGTCACTAACTGGTGTGCTCTTGTGCAGGTAATCATTCTGTTAAGAGTTCATGGGTTCAACGCCGGGGTCGTGTCTAGATGACATTAGTCTCCAGAAATACTTGTGGTCCCCTCGCATTCTTCTGTTCTTCTTTTCCATGAGTTTCCCTGAGCCTTAGCTGTAGGTGTGTTATAGGTGCCCCGTTTGGAGCTGAGCACTGCACAGTCACTTACATTCTGCATTTTGACAGTCACGGATCCCCAAGATCTTCCATGTGTATCTATCCCACATCACCTCTGAAAGACAAAGCAGGAAAACGCTGTGTGGGTTCCGGGCTCAGAAAGATTTGGGCCTCACTGTCGACCCCTTTCCCTGTCTAGCTGTGTCGTCTTATGTTAGTACATTAACATCTGATTGTCAACTTGGAGTTTTCTTTCTAAGCAAAATGGTCGTAAACGAACTGTCTGAGGAAGGGTTATGGTAGAAAATAAAAAAAAATGAGACCTAAATATGACTGTAGACCCCAACCCTCTGCTGTCATTGAAGAATACAAGGCCCATCTTCCAGCCTGCTGGCAGTGTAGAAGATTGAGGAGTGTTGCAGATTCATGAGTTCTTCTGGGTCTCTTTTTGACTGAAAGTTGCCAGAACATTTTCCATTTTATTTGGTGAGTATGATTTTTCTAAGAGCTTACCATTTGATTTTTTTCCTTGTTTATTATTTTATTTTGGTGACCAAGTGCTGGGATTGTTTATGGGGAACTAATTGTCTGAAAGGTTCAAGGCCACGAAACTTGAGTGTTCATTGAATGTAACTGAAAGCTAATGTCTTCCTGGATAATGTCTCTCTAGAAAAGACCACTTAAAACCATCCACAGTACTCAGGCCAGTGAGGTCTAGAAAAGATAGTTAGGTGCAAGAGCCAGTATTTTATCCCTGAGTAAATTCTTTCCTCCTCCTCCTCCTCCTCCTCCTCCTCCTCCTCCTCCTCTTCTCTCTCCCATTTCCTTCCCGTCTTTCTTTTTTCTTTTCTGACAGGGTCTTCCTGTGTTGCCCAGGTTTTCCTGAGATTATTTTTTCTCTATAGGTCAGACTGGCCTGGAACTCATGATTCTCTTGCCTCCCATCCCTACTCCACCCCAGTTCTTTTTCTACACTTCCTTGAACAAATCACGAATAGTTATCACATTTTCATGTCTTGGGAAAAAAAATCATAAACACAAAGTAACACGAAAAATGTCCTGTTAACTGTCAAGGCCTCAAAAGTATGTGTTCTGAGCCAGGAACAAAATAAGCTTGACCTGAGTCTTGGTTAAGAATTGCTTGATTTATTAACCTGTGGACTGGGAGACTTAGATAACAAAATGCCAACTTGGTTTTAAATACAAACCTCCAGCAGCATGTGCTTATTTGTCCTGATACCTAAGATAAAATATGTTTTTGAAAAAAGATAAAAAAAAATACAGGTACATAAGAAAAACTTGGAAAGCTGTGGGTCGCGAGGCAAATGGTTTTCTGGTGTGGATATTTTCCTTCTGGATGTTTACTTAATTTTTTTTTTAGTGTATATTTTTGGTTCTTTACTGGCAAAGTACTTTATGATTAACTCCACAAGCATTTGTTGATGAATTTAAAATATACAGGTCCTGTAGTGAGCAGTACATGCTTATAGTCACAGAAATTGAAAGATTTAAGCAAGAATGTTATCATTACTTGAGGATAGCTTAGGCTACATAGTAAACACTAGGCCAACCTGAGCTATCTAGCAAAACCTTATCTCAAACAAAACAATAGAATATAAAACAAAATATCCCCAAACAACAACAAAAAAGGTTATACATTTGGAAAGGACTCTCATGGAATTCCACCCCAGCTCAATGTCTCTCTGTTGATAGCTCTGACCTTTTGCATTTGGAATCTCTTAAAACCATTTGAATCATAGCCAAGGGAGAAAAAAATCTATATTAAAAAAACAGTCCCTGGGAAGAAGCCATCACTTTGCCCCTCGGTTTTAAATGTACACAGATGATGTCTTTCTTGAAATGATGAAATGCCAGAGTAAACTTATGAAGGGCATGTTTTCTTTACCTTTTAAAGACAGACCTCTTTTGTTTTTTGGTGGTGGAAAAATGAGTCGGGACCAGGGCTGGGGCTTTTCATGATCGAGTTAAGTAACTTCAGAGCCTTGGAACAAACAATGAAAGTCAGATTCCCTTTCAGAGAAGGCTGGCCCATTGGTAGTTGGTAATTCCAGTCTAGCTGATCCAACAAGTTTTTATGCCTTAAAGCTTTGAGCACCGTGAGTCAGAGGGAGAGGGAGGGCGAGGGAGGGGCATGAGCTCACCGTAGAAGGCTGGTATTAAAGACAGCCAAGATTGTGTGTTGGACCCAAACCAGAGCAAGGAGTGGCTGTTATTGCAGCAAGAAAATATGAGCTCTTCTGGGAGGGCCCGAGTTGTTAGTGGAGTCACCTCCAGGGCCTCCAGGCAGATCTTCCAGAGAAGTAACACACTGCTTAGTGGTTTCTACAGTGAGCTGGCTTTGGAATTCTCCCCCCTCTTAGCCTTTTCTCTGCCTGGAAACTTAACTTTAGAGGAGGAGGGAGTCTCGCCTCTGCCATTGACTCACTCATATTATACTTCCTTTCTTCTGAACGTCAAAGTGAAGTCACCATGGTGACCTCATTGGGATTCAAGAGCTAGAAAAGCAAAGCATGTTACCATATGGAGCTTGGACTGCAGGTCCCTAATGCTGGAGACTGGGTGATATGTTGACTTCTGGATGGGGTACCAGGACCTAAGTCTCTGAAATTGTAGACATGTACGCTTAGTTTCAACTGGACAGTGGTTCAGAGTGTCTTCCACCTAAACTTTATTTATTACTTTTATTTGTATTGAAAATAGATTCTTTTCTCATACAATACATCCTGATTAGTTTCCCCTTCCTCTACTCCTTCCAGTTCCTCCTCACCCTTCCTACCCCTCTGGATCCATAAGAGGTAACAACCAAACATGACCAAATAAAATAAAATAAGATGAAGCAAAAACTTTCATATTGAAGTTGGACATGGCAATCCAAGAGGAGGAAAAGAGTCCCAAGAGCAGGCAAACGAGTCAGAGACCCACTCATTCTCACAGTCAGGACTCCCCAAAAAACACAAAGCTAATAGTTATACTGTATATGCAGGGGACATGGTACGGACCCATGCAGGCCCTGTGCTTGCTGCCTCAGTCTCTGTGAGCTCATATGCTCCTTGCTTAGTTGATTCAGAGGGCCTTGTTCTCCTGGTGTCCTCCATCCTCTCTGACTCTTACAATATTCTCTCCCCTCTTCTACGGGGTTCCCTGTGCTCTGAGGGGAGGGATTTGATGGGGATCTCCAATTTAGACTCTCTCTCCATATTAATGCCTGTCTGACTGTGGGTTTCTGCACCTGTTCCCATCTGCTGCAGGAGGAAGCTTCTCTGGTGATGACTGGATAAGACACTGCTATAGGAGTATAGTAGAACAATTTGTAAGACACACACACACACACACACACACACACACACGTTCAGACCAGTTGTGTTTGGTTTTACCCTAGATCTCCGGGTTATCTAGTCTCTGGTTCTTGGTTACTCAAGCAATGTTGGGTATGGGTGCTGTCTCCTAGAGTTGGCCTTAAGACAAATCAGACATCAGTTGACTCCTCCCAGAAGTTCTGTGCCAGCATTGCCCTAGCATATTTTGTGGGGAGGAGAGGCTGTAAGTCCAAAGTTCTTTCTTCATTAAGTGAAAAATGGACTGGCTCAATGGGAGATGACGAAATGGTGTGTATTAATTATGATTTTTCATGCAAGTGGCAGAAATGCAACCTGAGCTTGTGTAGGCAAAAGGAAGGAAGAGCAGAGATTGTAACTGGGTCTACAGGGCCACCAGACACAGAGACCCAGATGCTGTTTAGCCTTTTTCTCGTCTAGCCTCATTCTTTTCAAGGTGTGTCTAGCCAGGTCTTTTTCACAGTGTCCTCTCCTCTACCATGCTTTCAACTTAGCATCCTAAGCCTTTGTACCAGAGAGGGATGGTCCCTTTGCCACCTTTGATTTGCACAGAGGGTCCAGCATCTCTGTGATATAGATGGGTCTTTGTAATTGTCGGCTTTCCTGATGCATGTGATAGTGTGAGGAACAGAATGATAAGAACAGGAAGATAAAAGTTAGACATGTTCATTATAGGATCTAAAACCAAGAGCACTGGTCAGGGTTCTTCAATGAGACAGAACCAATGTGAATAATATAGATACAGGTATATTCATGGGCCTCAAGGACGTAGATATATGAAGGGATTTATTATAAGCCTTAGTTCACATGATGATTGAGGCAAGAAGACCCGTCATCCGCCATCTGCAAGCTGGAGAACCAAGAGAGCTGTGGGATCATTCATATCAGTTCCAAAGGCCTGACAACCAGAAAGCCAATGGGGTGCGTCTCAGTCTGATTTGAAAGGCCTGGGCATGGGAAGAGAGAAGAGCAGTGGTGAAGGTGCCTGGCCACGCTTGAGCCTGAGAACCTGGAGCACTGATACCTCAGGGACAAGATGGGGGCCAGCCCAAGAAGAGAGTGAACTTACCATCCCTGGTACCTTCTTATTCTATCGAGGCCTTCAGCAGATGGGATGATGCTGGCCTGCCCTGCTGAGGGTACGTGTTTTGCTCAGTCTACTGTGCCAAAGGCTAGTCTTTTCTGAAAATACCCTCACAGATATGCCCAGGAGTGATATTTTACCAGTGACGTGGGCATCCCTTACCTCAGTTTAGTTGGCTCATAAAAGTAACTATGACAAAGATATAAAAGGGAACACTTTAATAGAGATTAAATTAGGAAAAAAAATCTATAAAGCAGGTGACTAGACTTTGATGATCCTAGAGTTGGGGGTATAAATTGATGATTAATCTCTGTTGTATAAGTACCATGAGCGAACCGATTGCGACACTGTAGCATCCGATGATTAATCTCTGATTAAACTTTTAGCCTTTATTGTAGGAAGAAATCTACAGCACTGAATGTGCATTTCATGATGAGGTAGAACACAAAGGAAAAGTCTTGTCTCTCTCACATTCATACCTCACTTTAAAGACTCAAAATAAAAATAATTGGGCTGGCTTCATTTGGAAGAAAGTGGAGCCCTGGTGACTCAGTATAAGCTTTGGATTAAATCCAGCTGCTTCCTGATTCTACAAAAGGCGACTCTTTAAGCTTGGTGGCTCTGGGTTCTCTGAAGATGAAACGCTAAACACTCAGTTCTCCTACAGAAACTGAA